ATATATATTTAACAATCATAGCTGTTTTCATTTTTATATTTTTGCTTTGCTACGTTTTATTAAATTTTTTTGTTGAGTATTGCTCAGATTATAAAAATTTTTAATCTCACGTATGAATTTGTATTCTGTACAAAATTTGTATTCTGTATGGAGGGCTTAAGCTATTCGAAGAAACATCCATCGCACACATACGATGTTGCACATTATAAAATAAACAGCCACCATAAAGAACTTTTTCCTTAACTTCGAACATTATTCAAACTATTTTATTTTAGAAAATTCAAAATATCTTATTATGTTCTACGCAAATTTAACATGTCGTAAATGGTACATTTAGTTTTGACTTTCAAATAATAATACAAACACAATATAACTTTAATGACGAGAAGTTATATAAAGAAATTTATAAAAGCAGCACATTTAAATTTTAATGACTAATAATATGAAATAAATTTTATTATTAATTCTGTTCTTTAGTTTATATATCATTAATATTATAGTATTCATCTTCATCGTGAGCACAAAAGTATCGCTCGTTTCGCGCAAGGTGTGCACAATGCGGCCATTTTCCAGATGAGATGGGCAACATGGGTTCTTTGAAGAAAAAGTGATGGTGTAAACAGCGCGATGAATGTCTTGAGTGAAAAAGGGATTATCACGGGCACGCTGCAATATTCTCGTACGCGAGACGAAGAGGAAACTAACGCGAGAAAGATGGAGCAAAGGGAGAGAAACAAGAAGCTACAAAATTGTTTGCCGAGAAACAGGAGGCCAGATAGTCGAGCGGGAGAGAAAACGAGACACCTAGCAGGCGAGGATCTGATTTACTCGCTGCAGGTGGATGTAGATTTCCGCCGTCGTTCCTGCTTTTAGAAACCCGACGCCTCTGAAACATGGCGTCGCAGGAAATTCTCAAAATTCAGTTATATAACTTTAATGACCAGTTTGTCGAAATTTTGCAATACATAATAAAAATACTTTTCTGTAATTAAAAAACGAGATACAATATAAACTTATCTATTCAACAAGAAATTCTTTATTCAACTACACTTTGCTAATTATACAAAAATGGTAAAGAAAAAAGTAAACAAAATCAAATTTTTGTTAAATGTTTTTAAAGTTGGCATGCAGTTTGTTTGTTTTAGTAATGAAGACTCGATATATCTATCACATTGTAATATTTAATCTAGTAATCACTTTTTCTATATTATTTAAAATTATTACTTAAAAATAATGTTGATTTATAAATAAATGTAAAATCATGTCAAAATTTTTATACTATTTCTTATTTTTAAATACAAAATAAATATTTTGAGATATATAATTTAAGAAATTAAATTTTTTGACTTTAACATTTCTTTATGTTTTTTCTTGCGTAATTGAGAATGCAACATGAAGCTACTGATATTCTACGCTATTACGAACACTCTACTTTGAACCATTAGAGAAAGCGATTATGTATCCATTTTGTTTTTCGGAAATAAATGGTAAATGGAGCGAGTGAATTTTGATCTTACTTATGCAGTTGTCCCCGATAAGAACCATTCAGCCTTTATCTATCTGAGTCTAGAAACCAATAATATCGGAATGCTTAAAGTCTGTTGTTTATGAATCGCAATTAATCGAATCGTAAGGAAGTAATCGGCGCGGAAAAACTTCGATTTAATAAATATCAGATGCATTCGAAGAGAGACAATTACTCAAGTAATTGAAATAATTAATGGAAAATACTATTTCTCTCTTCTCCCTCTTTCCTCCCTCTCCTTTTTTTATTTTTAAAATTTATATTTATTATTAGATAATTTTGTTTACGAATAGTACAAGCATATATTCTTTTGATAATGTTATTTCAGGTATTAATAGTGTTAAATAGATTAGATAGAAAATTATGTCACACAATATTATTGCAAAATATAGTAATTAAGTTTTATTCAAATACACATATAAGTTATTCTAAACTTATTTACTTTATATACTTTATATATTCAATTATTTACTTTATATATTTTATATACTCAATATCAAGAAATACCGTCTTTTAAGAGTATCAAAAATGAAGTACAGGATAAAAGCACTCCAGACAGAAACTTAGCTTGTCATATGCTGAAATCGCACTATAAAAGGAAAACCTTATATAAGACATAGACTTAAAAATTTGTGAGCAAGTCTCTCATGACGCCAAACGCGATGAGAGCTTTTTCTAGTAAAATAGAGGACTTAGCCACCGAGGTGTGCAATGAGTGCATTTTGGTACAGTTATATGAGGTTATCAAGTTTTAGCCTAAGGAGAAAAGGCACGTTGTATCCACCTCATAAAAGAAAAAAAGGACGTTTTAAAGTCTAATATTGAGATGCTCTTGTCTGAATACTACACAAAATACAGTTCTATATAGGTAGCGGCCCTTTTCTAAGATGCAATATGCATTCAAAGAGAGTACGGTACAATATATATTTCTTTTCAATAGGATCTTATTTTATTATTATATGTGTCTTAATTCAATTTATATCATATTGTTGTATATTTAATACCAAAGAGATGTTTATTTGAATCTTATTTCATTACATACACATATTATCAAGTATACTATTTATATTAGAGAAAATAAAATGTTTATAGAATCAGATTTAATATTGATGTAAGCTTTTGGGAATCTCCCAAGGAAGAAGGGAATCTCTCTCTCTCTCTCTCTCTCTCTCTCTCTCTACTCGTCTCTTCTCTTCTCTTCTTACGTTCCTTACCTTTTACGTTACCTTTAC